GTGGCGAATCCTGATAATTTAGAGATTGTCCTGTACTCATTTCCTAAGACCATGAATGTAGTGGTCCCAAGCAATATGTACTTCTAGCTTTGAAGGTCAGAGTCCAAAATGAGTTCTAAAAACCATGGACTCCAAGGCTCTGTCCTTCTACAGCCTCTGGCAGCACGGCTTGTACCTCTCGGCTCCCCGAGGCTGCCCACGCCCTTCAGCCCACCTCCCCGCCTCACCTTCAACGCCAGCAATCAGATCGTCCTGGCCTCTACTCTGATGGCCACGTCCCCTGCTCCGACGCTGCTGCTTCCTCGTCCCTGGCACAAGCTCTTGCAATTACATTGGTCTATTCCGATGTCCCAGCAACCCGCCCGCCTCCAAGCCCTTGAAGATCGCATCTTCGAAATCTCTCTCACTGTGTAAAGTAACACAGCCGCGGTTCTGGGATTAGGACCTGGCCTTCTCCGGGAGCCCTTCTTCTGCCTCACACAGGACTCACGGGCAGAGGGCCGGAATCATGACCACCTGTGCACTCAGGGAAGGCAGGAAAGCGCATCCTCCCCACCTTGTTAGAGCAGCACAGCCAGGCCAAAGGCAAGCCCCGCGCTTCTCTGTGATGAAATCAGTGAAATCAGCCCGTGGGTTAGAAGGCCTGCCGACTGGCAGCAGAGGATAATGGCAACTGGTGATCGGAACAAGGACCCTCATTGCTGTCACCCTGAAGTATGTCCTACAGTCCCTGGGCCCTCAGAGAGAAGACTTGAAGCCACATGGTCATGTCCTTCTCCACATGCTGGTACTCACAGCTACCCGACTGTGTCTGCCTAGGCCCGATGGCTCTCCAGACAGGGAACGGTCACTGTTTCCCGGAAGCCTTGTCCACCTCTCTAAGAAGTTGCCCTTTCTCCCACTGGTCCTGGTCCCTACTCTGGGGACATGAAGAGTTGGGTCCCTGGTTAAAGGGAAGCTCTTCAAGGGTTGCAGGGTGACTCTTCCATCTCAGCGTCTCCAGTTTCCCCAGCAGGACCAGGCTGACAGAGAGGGGACCGTGAGGTGTGGCCTCTGACTCAGAAACCAGCTCAAACCCAGATCTTCCCCTTCGGCGGGCACCTTCAACAGTGCTTGCAAAACCTGAGGAAAAGCCAGGCCTCAGGCTGTCCCTGTCTGAGATTCTGGCTTGGCTGCCTGAGGCAGGTCCTGAAGTCTGCACTCAGGAAGACACCTGAGGGTGTGGGTGCAGCCCTGGGGGAGTCTGTATGGCATGAGCCTCAGCACTGCTGAGCACAGTTCTGGGTCTTGGAATCAGCCCAAGAGCTGCCGGGGGCATCCTGGCACTGAAGTGCACAAGGTCGGGGACCCTTCCTCCTCGAGATGCCACTCTTCAGCGGAGGGTCTCTAGCGGCCACACTGCGCTGCGGACTCAGGCCAAGGTCAAGGAAGTCCGAGTTATTGAATGTCTTCCTCCAGGCCACCCAGCCCTGCAGACAGCTTTGGAGTCATCAGAGGCCTCACTCACTGCTCACTTCCCTGGCTGCTATGGGACACTGGCACTGCCCAACTTGTGCAGGTGCCAGGCTCCTCACAGCAGGAAACGATGATGGCAGGCTTCCCTGGGCTGAGAAAGATGGTGCAGAGGGTGGCCCAGAAGAGCGGACAGTCTGCGCACTGCACAGTGGGCCTTGAGTCCAGAGGGAACAGGAGCAGACTGATGGCCTACCACCCACAACACTGACTACCCACCCACACCAATACTACCTACCCACACCACCCGCTCACACCACTAACTACCCATAGCACTAACTACCCACCTACCCCACTCACCACCCAACCACACCCCACACCACCACTACCTGCCCACACCAGTGACAGCCTAACTACCCATACCACTCACTACCCACCTACACCACTCACCACCTAACCATACCCCACACTACCTGCTCCCACTACCCATAACCTACTCATACCACTAACTA